CGGACAACCAGCTGAGCGGGGCCGCTGAACATCCGAGTCGGACCAATGGGCGCACAGAAGCCTGCACACCCCCACCATTCCCGGCACCCAATCAGAATGTGAACAAGTAAGTCGAGCTCCTGGTCCCGCCTCTCCAGCACAGGCCAATCAGAGAGAAGAAGGGCGGTGTGGCTGTGACCCCGCCCAACCGGCCACATCACCCAATCGCCTCCCAGCTCATGTTGGCCAATGGGAACACGAGCCTCCTATCCCGGCCCTGGAGCTCTGCGCGGCCCGGAATCCATGTCCGTAACTCGTGTGTCCGCCCGGAGCAGCGCAACCCCGCCTGGCTCTGGCCGCGGGCACCGCCCGAGCGACAACCGAGCGAGCGAGGCCTTTGTTCTTGTCTCCTTGCCTCGATCTCCTGCCTGCCCGAGCTGCGGGCGCGGGGCTCCGAGCCGCTGTCCCTCTCTCTGCCCTCATCTCTCGGCTGCAAGGCCCGGCTTGAGTCGTAGGGCCGTAGCACAGGGCAGGGGTTTCTTTTCTGTGCCTTTAAAAACCGCCTGCTCCGCGCAGGGAGGGCGGCACGGAGCCGCCTTCGTTCCGGGTCCTTCCCTCCGGGCTCCACGCCCCGCTCCAGCCCCAGGCGGGCGGCGCGGAGCCGGCTGTGGTGCCCGCCCGGGTCTCCCCGCCGCAATGCCCGGCGCGGCCACAGGAGGGCGGCTCTGCGCTGCCTTCTCGGGCTGCAGCAATGAGCCGACGGGACCACAGGAGGGCAGCACCGAGCAGCGGGGTCGTCTCCCCACCGGCGCGCCGCTCCTCGTGGCTGCCGTGCTGGGAGCGGGCAGCACTGAGCCGGGTTTGTCTTCACACCAAGTCCGGATGCCCAATGACACCTGTGATACCCGCACTAACTACAGACACTAGTATGCGGTGATATGGAAAGATGATAGTTGAACAGCTGTATCAGTATCGCCATGGAGAGAGACAAAGAGAGAGAGATATAACTGTGTTAATAATGGTCTGCATTACACAAACACACACTATCTGCATGTCGGTATACACACACACAGCCGTACTGTATACGTCTCTGCACAATTTATGTTTTTCAAAATAAGTACACACTGAATAACGCCGTCACTTCAGCTCCCTGTTCTCAGTTTTATACTTTCACACCGAGCGGAGATGCCCCGACGGGACCGCAGGAGGGCCTCACGGAACAGCCGGTTCGTCTTCCCTCTGCTGCGCCGCTGCTCGGGGCTGCAGTGCTCGGAGCGTACCACAGGAGGGCAGCACTGAGCCCGGCTTGTTCTCTGCCTTAGCGTGAGGACAAACCCGGCTCAGTGCTGCCCCCCGGTGGGGCGCTCTCAGCACTGCAGCCACGAGGA